CGCCGATACTGCTCATGATGAAGGATCAATTTGCTAACTACGTTGTGCAAAAAATGCTCGACACTGCCGACCCGGTTTATGCGTAAGAAGATGATGTATGCGATAAAGCCTCATATTCCTGTTCTTCGTAAGTTCAGCTATGGAAAGCATATCATCAGTGAGTTTGAACACTTTTATTGTATTGTACTGGTTGGAAGGGTGGGATTTTTGGCACAACAGTTCGTACTACTCGCAGTAATCCCAATTTTAGTGGGAAGAAGAAGTATTGATGTGGGCGAACCGGGGTTTTGCTGGTGCAAGAAAGGGCTAGTGCTATTATGAAAATGGAGATTTTTGTTGTTTCGAACGCCACGAGTACTCTTCGCCACGATGCCCCATCCCCACCTCGTCCCCATACCCTTGGGCCTTCCGACTCAAGACTTTTCCATTCATTTTTAACATAGGCAAAGCGGATCTGTGTAGCCTTCACCAGAACTTTGTGGATTTCTTCTTGTGTATGGCATATAATCCTCACAACAATTATTTTCAGCAAAACTGGAGAAATACTTCCAGAAGCAGAACAATAATCATGCTCAGCATCATCAGCAAATGCAATTTGAATTGGGAGGAATGCAGAATCCGAATGTGAACCATGCGCTGTTGTAAACGAACGAAACTGGTATCGCTTTGCTGCAAGAGCGTAACTTCACATGAGTGTGTTATCCTTTTTCTGTGACTATCCACCGCTAAACATGTAATGTCGAGGTTTTTATTAGCAATGCTGTTATTATACCGATCAAGGCAGGACATGAATTCTCGCAGTGGAAGATATAGTTTGCATACAATCAGTTGCGGTTCACAGAATCGTGGAGAGTTTGCCTTTCTTTTGTAGTGTCATCTGTCCTAAATCGGGTTGCCGTAAACTGGTACGATATTTGCTCCCCATTTCCTCCAACATTTTTTAGCTTCGGAGAAAGCTGAGGTTTGTTAGATGCACGAACATTGTTTCCAGATGAGTCGTCCTGTTTTGATTAGTGTGATAATGGCGGTTGCTGGAGCAATCATAAGCAAGCTCTTAAGTTAAGTGCACTGTTCCAATATTCATCTTTCTTTCCTTCATAACATCTTTCGTTGCGCTTTTTGGCTGGTGGCGATAATCTTCTATTTTACCACAAGTTGCTTACGTTTTCGAACCACTAGTTGTTCCTGAAACATTTCCAACTTTACTCACGCTCGGCTATTTTTTTATAGCCTTGTAAACTTAAAATAGTTGAAGGAACCACACAATGCGCAGAGTGTAGTCATAGGCGTATTAGGGAGCAATTTTACAGTTTACAAATTTCTATATTATCCCTTGGGTTGACCACGATTGCCGTTGAGTGGGTAATATATGTAGTGACTCTCATTTCTTTCGCATTTTCTATTCTGTTAGCAGGGAATATGCTTCCAATTTTCTTCAAGAAATAACAATAGCGATTTTTTTGTCATTGCTTCGATTGAGGCGTCGTTTCTCCTTTCTCTTCAGCAATAAGGACTTTAATATTTTTTCGTTCCGCTTTGATTTCGGGTAACCTGCTACTAGTGAGTCCAGCATCCGAAACGTTCGTGTTCCTCGTCAGGCCTCTTTCGGAACGGTGTACACAACAGGGAGCTTGTTTAAAAATGCGTGAGATTCTCAACTGTACGACGATTTTGGCTACTTGTTGTAAGTTTTGCTATGTTGCCACGTTACAGCATTTGGTCGTTCGCTTTTTGTCTTGGCTGGCTCTGTATCATCCTTATGTCGTATGATCTTTGTAACTGTTGAAAAGAAAACTCGTTTATCATTGTTAGTATGCTAGGTCCGTGATGTCTTGCTGTACTTTCTCGTGTAAGAATTTCGCTGCTCATTCCTTATTTCTTCCCCTCACTGCTGTCGTCTTTGTATAGCTGAGCGCTCAAAATGATTTTTGTATTGATTTCAATCAATAGCAGTTGTTGATTTTTCTTTTTTTGTACAGTTGTTTTTTTATGTAATTATGTAAGAGAGTACTAGTTTGTTAAAAAAAATCTTAGCGGATAATTGAGATGACAACGGCAATTTGTCTGTCGTACAGCTAATTCGACATCATTACACGCACACTTCTGAAAAGTTGTGGTATTGATATCAAATTAGTTCGAAGATTGTTTGTCTCCTAGTTCTGCAAATGTAATTTTTTCGTTGAGTTTTCATTTCTGATTATATGTTTTCATCCCCTTCTGCCATGCATTGTTCAAACATTTAGAGCTATTATTTTTTTTTCAATGAAAGTATGAGCATGAGTTGTAAAGCAATACGAATCGTGTTTCCCACAGAATACTTGCTCCAATCGAGCGGATATCGCAACGCTAACTATTGTGCTTATGATGTTACCAATGCAATACGGGTTTTTGGGTCGCGCGCTCGTGCGAATGATGCCTTGCGTTTTTTTCATTGTTTACTTGTCTTCGGAAGTGGTGGATGCCTGCTCAATTGTTCATCTTCTTTCATATCGTTCTGATGGACGATCGTTTGAAGTTCTGGTTAGGAATGAGGAGATAGATCATGATGACTTCCAAATAGTAGTAGAACCTTAGAAAAACAGTCACTGTCAACTTAAGAAAATCGTTAAAAATGTATGTGGTTGGCCAATGGTTTGGACGAGTTTTATCGCCAATTATGCACGTTTAGAACTTTTCAAGTGAAAACTTCCGCTTCCGGAGTGATGGCATTGCTAGTTCCAGTTTTAGTTTTTGTTCTT